AGATCTAAAGGGTTTGTATTAATTATTTCATGCAACTTTTAGTGTTTACACATATACACCTGGATTAGAATATAAAATATTTATAGAGGAGTAGGCAAAAATTTGAAACCTGAAGTCTTAGACAAAACAGATTCACTCTAAGTGTAAGAACATATCTTATATAGGGGAAGAACGGACACAACTCAGGAGAAAGGAAAACATTTTGGGATATAATCAATCTTTACTGCAGCCTGCAACATAATTATTTCAGTTCTTCCAATCTTATCTAAATTTCAAGTATAGCTCGCTTCTCAAAAAACACTTCATTAAGCTTCTTTGATGGAGCAATTTATAAACTTTATCATTTGATAGAAAAGCTAAGCCTCTACCCAAAAACCAAAAATCCCAAAAAACAAACAGAAAAATGGAAACAAAAACAAACAAAAACCCCACAAACCCCAGCATATTTCAAATAACTGAGCACATTTTATCATCATCATCATCATGTTTACTTTGGTACAAATTCTAATCTACTTAATAAGAACTTTAGAGCTAATTCTAGTTCAATTCCCTTCATTTAATAAACGATGAAACTAAAGCCTAAAGAGGGTGAATTTATCCAAGGCGGTTAATTATTACAGAACAGAAATCTCTTGATACTTGGCTTCAGAATTCTTTCCATTGTACTAATTAACAGTGCAATTATACAAACTTAAAAGCTGAAACAACATACATAAGTTCCAGAGGCACCTACACTTATTATATAGGTGATGAAGTCTTTGAAAGGTTATAGTTAAATTATATTTTGGGGAGCAAAATTGCATTTTTAAGGGAATGGGGTAGCTTATTTGAGAAATGATTTAACTCCTTGAAAGCAAAGAATAGCTATTGCACTGTTTAGTGAAGCTAAGGATTTTGAAGCTAATTTCTGTAAAACTTTAGTTTGAATTGTATTTCACAATACTTTACCATTAACCCAAAGAATGCAAAAACACTAATATGAAGGGATATGTGCTTTCCTATGTTCTCTGCAGCACTACTTACAGTAGCCAAGCTATTGTAAGGTTGGCTTACAATAAAAACCTAAGGGCCTAACAGATGAGTGGGCTACAATGCTGTGATACACACACACACGGTCTCACACACACACACACACACACACACACACACACACACACACACACACACACAGGAATCCTACTCAGCTATATAAAAAAGATGGATTTCTACCATTTGTGATAACATGGACAGAACTGGAGGGAATGATGCAGGTGAAATAAGTGTCAGGAGAAAGATAAATACCAAATTATTTCACTCATTTGTGGAATATAGGGTAAAAGATAAACAGTAAACCAAAAACAAACCCTAGAAATCTGACTTCAGAATTCAGGCTACCAAAGGGTAAGATGGAAGGTCGGGAGCAAAGGGTTTGGGGGAGGAGGGAAATCCCCAATGGACTGTCAAGGACGACTACAGGTGTACATTTAAAAAGTATGGGTATGGTGGAGATGATAACACACATTTGAAAGGTATAAACTTAAAGCTATAGATCCTAGCATATAAATCCTATACTATTACTACAAAAACAACAAACCAGTAAGTCTATTTGCCAACTAAAAACAACCCTACTTTTAAAGGGAGGGTGTTGAAGACTTTTTACTGAAGACTTTTCATATGACTAGAAATTTACTAAGTTTTATGAATGAGCCCAAGGAAGCTTTAGTTAAAATGGGATTCCAATTTGGGTGTTTTTGTGTCTATTGTAGCTGGACAAAACTGATGTAGGAAAAATCCTCATTTCTGCATGAGTTCGATCCCCGTGTGCCCTGAAGGTGACCACATGGTGCGGCCTGGCCTGCTCCCCTCAGCAGTGTGCTTTGACGGTCTGCCTGTTCTGCTCCCTACTGTCTCTGGTGAATTCTCTCACTGCCCCTGCACATCTGGCCTGTACCCCAGTTCTGTATGTGAAACTAAATAAATCTAAAAA